CCGTTGCTGTTATTGTCGTCATCAGAAAGGACAACCTCCTATCTATCTACGCCTCAGAACACTAGTGTATTTATAAGGGAAAAGAAAATATGCTAATTCAGAAACAATATAATAGGATAAGGTTGTTAGGAGTGGGACTAAAAAGAAAGCTCTCTAGTCTCAGACTAAGGAACACTTAAAATACGAGGCTATTCTAACTGGACTCAAAGTCAGAAGGCCTGGATTTGAGTTCTTGCTTCAAGATTTACTAGACAAATCATTTATACTTTCTCACACTCAGTTTTCTAAACTGTAAAATGAGGATGATTTTTGTGCTATGTACTTCACTGGACAATTAAATATTTAAGCAATCAGATCAAAATTCTACTATGTTGTAGTGGCTGTTCTTTCAGAGTTACTGTAGCTAAATATCTTATCCGTCTATGGCCACATTCTATCCACATTACAGGCAATCACTTAACTAGCTAGATCTCTTCCCTTCCCCAGTTAAGGAGGGCTAAAAACATGTAACAGATATAGGCATCGTTCTTATAACCTCACAAATCAGAGGAATTTCAATTGCTGTATAAGACCCTAATTCACAAAAGAAGGTCACTTTACAGCCCTCATCTCTAAAATTAAGAGACTACATTATATGATCTTAAATCCCTTCCATCTCTGAAACTCTCTGACTCCATGAACAAACTGTCAGATGGTTCAAAGAAGGCCACAGATGCAGGCATGATATTCTTAAGCCTAGGGGAAAGTACTAACAGATTGGAAAAAGAACTAGACTGGTCTTTACATGATGAATCTGGGGTCATCTGAACTAGACTGGTCCTTAAACAATAGACATATAGTCTATAAGCAGACTTGTACTGCTACTGATTCACATTGCTGCAGTGCATTAAGATTTAAGGGCCTGGTATGTGTTAAAACACTCTAGAAATGTCAATTATCATTATTGTTTTCATTTACCCTGATTCATTTCCTGGCCCATTTCCAAACTATGCTGCCTATACTCTGGTCATTCCTCTTACTCCCCTCTCACTGGATCCTGGACTCTTATAGATGAACTTTTGCTTTCTCTTATCTGGAACCAGGACTCTATGTTACTTTTGAGCTATTTTCAAACCATGTTGCCATATGGGTATCTCTGTACCTCTTTCCCCCACTTATTAGCCCCCCTTTTTGTGTTGTTTCCTTCCATTAGAATGTAAGCTCCTTAAAGGCAGGGATTGTATGTTTTGCTTCTTTTATTTGTATCCCTAGTGCTTAGTACAGTGCTTGGTGCATAGTAAACACTTAATAAATGTTTTTTTTTTTATTCACACATGAAATCTTTTTCTAGTTGGAGTCTCTTAAGTCTCCTGTCCCCAGGCTGAGACTGGTGTCTACTCAGAATAGATTTTAGGATGTGGGCCTGAGCCTGCAAGATGAGCTCATTCTCTCATTATGCCATGCCAAGGTCACTCTCAGCCAATCAAAACATTTTACTCATTTTACAGGCAATCACTTTGCTAACTAGATCTCTCCCCTTCCTCAATTAAGGAGAACTAAAGACATGTAACAGATATAGACAGCGTTCTCATGACCTCACAAATCAGAGGAATTTCAATTGCTGTATAAGACCCTAATTCACAAAAGACAGCCCCTCACCTTAGAGCCCTCATCTCTAAAATTAGGAGACTACATTATAAGATCTTAAATCCTTTCCATCTCTGAGACTCTCTGACTCCATTAACAAACTGTCAGAAGGTTCAAAGAAGGCCACAGATGCAAGCATGACATTCTTAAGCCTAGGGGAAAGTACTAACAGATTGGAAAAATCAATGAACCAAGAATTGAAAGGTCCCCAACTTCAATGATGAATCTTGCCAAAATGAAACAGCAAAGCACATAATTTCAATATTGCCCCATGAAATGGCAAGGGGCAGGGGAGGTTGTGATATAGTGAGACAAAGAAAGCATAACCAAAATTTCTACTCAGCATGCTGTGAAAAAAATTAATCTTTGTATCTCTGTGGTGGTAAATTATTTCTCTCAGATAAATGTTCTCTTGCCCAAGGAGAGCCATAAGCAAGGTAATGATTTGTGGAAAATCTTTCATAGGATCATAGATTTAGAGCTGGAAAGGACCTTAGGGGTCACTGAGTTCAACCCCTTCATTTTACAGATGAAGAAACTGAGGCACAGCAAGTGACTTGCCTAGGATCACACAGTCTCTGAAGTAGAATGTGAACCCTGTCCTCAAGTCTAGAACATTATCTGGCACAAATACCAGACTCTCTCTCACTTCAATGCCTCTTTAAATCTTCTCCTTTCAGATAAGGCAGCATATATACCCTTATTGCAGGTCAATTTCTGAGGAGGAAATGAACAGCCTTCTGAATGCTAACCTTGAAAACCAGAAACAAACAGCAATATGTCACCACCTCCTTGTGCTAAACCTTTCACGTTTTGTGTATCATGTTTTTTTAGGACTCCTTTTCTTTTTACTGGGCTTAGGAGTTTTGGGATTGATCTGTGGGCTGTTTACAGTCGATGCTTTCCTTTTGTTTCTTCTGTCTTTATAGGTAAGGTGGGGAAAGGAAAGAGAAGTATTGATGCAGGTGAGTCAATGCCACAAGATGACATAACGTTTAGTTGTTATAAAAAGGGTAGCTGTAGGAGGCAGCTAGTGCAGTGGAAAACTCAGGAGACCTGAGCACTACAGGAAGTCCTCACTCCTTTCTTATTATTTGTCTATGGCCAGAGACAAGTAATTTCCCTGCTCTGGGCTCTAGCTCGCTCATCTGTAAAATAAAAGGGTTGGAAAGACAGTAATAAGATGGTGATAATATAAATTGAGAGCTCTTCAAGGGCAGGGACTGTCTTTGCCTTTCTTTATATCCCCAGTGCTTAGCATAATGTCCGGCACATAGTAGGTACTTATTCAAATGTTTATCAACTGACATTTATGTAACACTTTAATGTTTGCTAAGTGCTTACTTAATGTTATGATTTTTAAAGGCCCTTCTACTTCTAAAGGTCTGTGATCTATAAGTAAGGATAAGTCTATGTTTGTGTTTCAAAAAGAGGTGTGAGCATTATGAAGCCTTTGGCAGAAATTACTGTACCATCAAAGACTTGGAAATGAGCTCTCTCCCCTCCCCACAAGGGACATCAAGGGCAGTTACTTTGGCTCCTATCCCCATCTTCTCCCATATGGCTATTTCCATAGCAGCCTCCTTGAATTAGGCAACCCCTCCTAGCTGGGATATGGTGAAAAGAGCATGGGCTATAAAACTCAAATACTTGGAAGAAGTCCTGGCTTCTCTGTTTACTTCATGTGACTTGGATCTGAGACTCAGTCCCCTCATATGTAAAATGAGGGCTTTAAATGAACTTTCCAGAAAGATGAACTTCATAGAATTCCTATTTTCCTAAGATATAAGAACTTTCTCCCTAACAGGGATTCTTCGTAATGCCCCCCCATTGCCCCCTACACACACCTGCTGTTTTTCCTCTAGCCTGAGAAAGAAACAGAGCTAACATTTACCCAATGCTTTACCTACATTAATTGAGCTGATTCTCACAACCAACCCAAGGAAGGCTCTACAGGAGTTATTATTCCCATTTTACAGAGAAGATAGAACCTCAGAGAGGCTAATTATTAGCAGGTCTCTCTGAAGGGGAAAGCTAGATGACTACTCAGTAGATAGAGTGCTGGGCCTGGAGTCAGGAAGATCTGAGTTCAAATCTGGCCTCTGATACTAGCTGTGTGGCCCTGGAAAGGTCACTTAACTTTGTTTGCTTGCCTTTCCTCATCTGTAAAATGAGCTAGAGAAGGAAATGGCAAGTCGTTCCAGGATCCTTGCCGAGAAAATCCCATGAACAGTAGGGTCCATGGGATCACAAAGAGTTGGACATGACTAAATAACAGCAACAATAACTCCCTGAAACAGGCAGAGGCAAGCATCTCTAGCCACTGGGCAATCCTGCTAGTCAAGGAAAACTGGAGATGAAAAGTATTACCTTCTGAAAAGCTGGTGAATATGACCAGGGCCAGGTCAGGACAAAATTAGGAAATCAATAAAGGGGGCCTTCCTGAACCCTTTGCGTCCAGGTAGTCCTTCCTTCCCATCTCTCCTCTCCTTAATTTAATCTATTACAATTGCTTCCCAATGAGCTCCCCTGGGGAGATTTGCATTTGAAGAAGGGGCAACGTCACCTGTTGGCTTAAACCCAAGCAATGAAGCCAAAAGGTGAGACTTCAGGCATCAGCATCTCCCAGGAAAGGGAAAGTGTTTTGTGGCCTAGAACAGAGGGATGGGCGTGGAGGGTGGCCTTTCAATTCCCTTTAAATCACTCTGTTCCAGCTTCACCTGCTCAGAAAACATATTGCTAGTGCGATAGCAGAGAGTGCCTGCAGCACTCAAGTTGTCTCTTGCCCACACGGTTTTCAGAAGCCTGGAGAGGTCATTTTCCAGACTAAGGATCTTCTAGTTCTTGACTTTGAACCGAGAGCCCGGTTCCCTTCTTCTGTTATCTTACACGCGTGCACTCACCGGCTAAGACTTTCTTTTCATCAATTGCATCTTAAGAGAAGTTGCTCAGGCTGAGATTTTCGTTCCCAATGGTTGCCACTGTGCATTTGCGTCCGAGCGCAGCTGCGCGTAGACAGACGCAGCGGCAGCATCTACAGACCCTTGACCCGTAGCTGGCCAGCTTCTGAGAAGTTCAGAGCGGACTGGAATACCAGCTTTTTCCCCAGCGCCTGAGGACTCGCGCCAGCCATCACAGAAGAGACGATCTCCACTCTGACCAGCCAACGCCAAGACTGATAGGATCTTCCGCCTCCCACCTTCATCGTGTGACCCCTACGTTTCTTCCCCTTCCCTGGCATCTCCCCACCCAGGCTGCAAAGAGAGTGTGTCATCAATCAGTCCGCCAGGGGGAGCGCCAGAGCCAACCGCTGATCTGACCAGATCGCCTGGGTCCGCTGGAGAGTGGAGAGGGTCCCGCCAATCTGCGGGCGCGGAGGGAGGAGAGCTAACTGGTAGTAGTGGTAGCAGAAAAATCCCAGCACGGAGCCCAGAAAACGGGAGAAAGAGGTGGGATCGTTTCTGCTGGGGTACCTCGGGGGAAGAAACCAGTCTTCTCCACCTCGCGCCCCTCTCCCTCTCCAGGAAAAGGAGAAACGGCAAGCTGACCCCGACTCCTCTCCATTGCAACCCTGTGGATCGTTCTGGGCGAAGAGAAGGCGTCCAAAGAGCCCGATAGAATCCAGGTACTGGGCTCTCTCAGAACCAGGGGTGGGGGCGAGGGGACCAGGGGATCAGACTGAGCCTGGCACCTTAGTGGGAGATGTGTAGGGCATCCTCGTACCTCTCTAGGACTGTTTATGAGTTTCCCTCTCATGGGATGTACGATTCCCTGCAGTCTCTCTGGGCTCCTCGAAGAAAGTAAGATGCTAACTTGTTAGGAAATGTTAGCCACCCTCGGAATTCTTGCAAAGTGGGAAACATCAGAGAATGAGAGGGTTCTCTGAGAGGTTGGAGACTGAGGGGAGCTGGCTACAACTTGGGTGCTGAAAGCAGATGGAAAGAGGAAAGGAATAAAACAGGCAGTGGGCAAATTCACTCCCAAATGTTCTTGATCGCTTCCCCTGCTGTGTCACCCTGCCCCCCAAAAGTTTTCATTTCCCCCTGTTTTTAAAAAGTGAACTTTAGACTTAGCCCTCTCAGTTAGTAATTCCCTCCATAAAGTGAAGTGCCTCGCAGCAGAAAGTCCCCTCTCTTCCCCTATTCCCACCCTTGTAACTTAGGGGTCAGAGAGTGGCAGTAGCAATTGGAGAAACTGAGGCTGAGATTAAAATCCAAAGGTTCCTGAAGGAAAGGAAATGTCACATCCTGACATTTCATCCTTAGGCTGCTGCCACTCATATCTCAGCTGGTTTAAAAGAGCCTGAGGGAAGAGGGGCAGAACTGATGATTACCTAAGGACAGAACAGCCTTGGAAAGAGATTGCAGATTGGGCTTCCTACGCAGAGGGGCTTACTGGTCCTACCTAGAGAGGGAAGAAGGGAAAGGGAATGGAGAGGATTTAAACTGCTACTTCTCCAGAGGTCTGCTGCAACTTATCGCTGTGCCTTCCCTTGCTCTCCTGGTCTTTCTTCTAGGTCAGGGACTCTTAGTCTATGATCCATGAACTTGTTTTTGTAAATATTCTGATTACTCTCTTTTGTGTATTTTCTTCATTTTAAAACATTATTCTGAGATGAGGTTCCCTAAACTTCACCAAACTGCCAATGGGGTTCATTGCACAAAAGAAAGGTTAAGAATCCCTACTTTAGGAACTCAGAAAGTAACCATTCTTTGTGGGTGACTTAGCATACCTAGGTTTCTTGAATGTCCCTTTTCAGAGTTGTTTCCTGCACTGGACCTGTTGTATTTTAATCTGGAATCCTTTCCCTTTCCCATCTCTTCCAATAAGTTTTATTGACCAGGCTGCCCAGTAAGACCTTCCTTCTAACAATCAAAGCCTACCCTGGTCATTGAATTGATCTAAGTCCTGGGGAAAAACCTTAGAAACAGCCCCAACTGTATTTTGAAGGCTTTGAGTTAGGGAAGGGAAAGGGGGAAAGGTATGGTTGATTCTTGGTTAGATATGACAATCTGGTGTTGGTAATTGTAGGTATTTTACAGGCATCCAGGTTAGTTTTTCTTTTCTCCTTCCTAGAGAATAACTGGTCAATCCAATATTGATTGTTCAATGTTTCTTTGAGTTCTTTCTGATCTAGAACACTATTTGAGGAAGGAACTTGGAGCCTTTATGGGGAATATTGACACAAAACAGCTCATTTATGATAGAATTCAGCTTTCCTACCTCCTTCCCTGTCAGGACTCTGTTATGACCATACTGCCTTCTCCTTCTAGTTCACTGAGAGCTAAATAGTCTTACACTTAAGGTTTTCTTTAAAGGGTACAACCTTTTGTGAAAATTCTTCAGGCAGCTAGGTGGTGCAGTCGAAAGAGCACTGGGCCTGTAGTCAGGAGCACCTGAGTTCAAATCTGGCCTCAGACACATAACATTCACCAGCTGTGTGACTCTGGGCAAGTCACTTAACATAGATTGCCTCACCCCCCCAAAAAAATTTCTGTACTCCTCAGCATCACTGAAGAACATAGCACCAGGAAGGATCAAGAATCAGTGATCTAGGGAGTAACTGAGAGTGAATGAGAAAAGTCCTTGACTATACAGAAAAAGAATTCCCTTCTGAAGTACAGTGACTGGGGAAAGAACAGCAGCCTCATCTTCATGTAGCCCCATCTTCAAGGAGTGTCAAGGATTTTATGGGCATTAACTCATCCTTCCTTTTTATATCCAAGGAAAGTTATTTGTTAAAGGTAGTTATTTTGCAGACAGCTTGGGACTCAGAAGGGGTAAATGAGTGGTCCAGTGTCATATAGCAAGTCAGTATAAGAATGAACACTGGATTTCAAGTCTTTCTAAGCTAGGGTTACAAAGAAGTGTGGCTTGCTTAGTAAAAGACACAGTGGGATGAGGTGATATTTTCCTGCCCTCATTGGGATATATGGTGGCCTTTTTAAGCCATAGAAAAAGAGCTGGTACTTTGGCTAAGGGGGATGACCTCTACAAAGCAAACTAGACAAATTCTCAAGATATCAAGTTAGGCAGAATTTCTAGGGAATAACAGACCTCCATTGCCTTCTGATCACTTTCTACCTTCACCCCTGTTACTGAGAAAAAGTGTAAAAAAAGCATGTTATTCTGGACATGTTATTGGGCCAGTGCCTGATTATTGTCTGGAGTAGTCCAACCAAAGCTGAGTTTCATTTTTTTCTTTATGTCTCTGCCACCAGTTGGTTTGTTTCTAGTTAGTCCTGTTCCCCCTTCATTCCCCTTCCCATCACCCTTGGGTAGTCATTGCTAGTAGGCAGCAAAGAAGATCATGTTGGACTGCAGCCCATACCACTGTGATAATGACATGATTTACTAATATATATCATTTGCTGCTTGTGTCTCTCTCAAAGGCTTGAGATCTACATTCCAATTATGTTGGGAACAAGGTGGTGACTTGCTGTGTAAGAACAAAGTATCTAGCTGGCCCAGGCTCAATTCCATAGCAGTTGAGTTCTCACTCCTTCCTGCCTACGTTGACCACCATGGGACCTGAAGAAGGGAATACCACTGGTGCACACAACAATTTTGCAGCTATCTTCAACTCCCATCGGGAGCGCTCTGCCTCCCTCCCATTCAACTTTAGTTATGGTGACTATGACCTGCCTCTAGATGAGGAAGATGATGTAACCAAGACCCGTACCTTCTTTGCTGCCAAGATTGTCATTGGTGTAGCTCTAGTGGGCATCATGCTAGTCTGTGGCATTGGTAACTTTATCTTCATTGCTGCCCTGGCCCGATACAAAAAGCTGCGCAACCTCACTAACCTGCTCATTGCCAACCTGGCCATCTCTGACTTCTTGGTGGCCATTGTATGCTGTCCCTTTGAAATGGACTACTATGTGATCCGCCAACTCTCCTGGGAGCATGGCCACGTGCTCTGTGCCTCTGTCAACTATCTTCGAACTGTCTCCCTCTATGTCTCTACCAATGCCTTGCTGGCCATTGCTGTAGACAGGTAAGTATTAGACAGGGTAGAGTGGGAGGATGCGGGCAGGAGTAACCACTGAGAGAGATGGTTAGGTGCTTCCACCACACTCACCTGGTAAGAGCAATGTCTCTACCCTCCTCCTTCATGTTAACAAGAGCTGATTTCACAGCTGAGGAATGGCAAGAAGAGCCCCTGTCTCTCATCTAGGACCTGGTGAGAGGTGTCTATGGTCCTTAGATGTTGACAAATCTTGAGTTACTCAGCTGTGGCCTGGCAAGACACTCAGGTTTGCTAGATATTCTACCTGGCCCGGGCTCAGCTGTTGATTTGTGAGAGCAATGTTCTTCAGTTCCTCTCACCTAATCTTACTTAGATTGAGAAGAACAGCTCCAACTCTGAAATTCTGTGATAACAGCTTTAATGTTCAGGGGTCTATTACCTCTAAGCAGCACACAAGTCAAGAGGGACTTTTCAGTTATCAAATAGAGACATCCCTCCCTCCCACCCCCCATCCCCACCCCCACCAAGTCAGTTTTTTCTGAACAACAGATTTTTAAAACAAGGTTACTGGATTTGTTTGCATAAAATCTGCGGGCACATTTACTTATGTTCTTTGGCATAAATCTGTATGCTTATTTGCATACATTTACATGCAGCCCTTCCAGAACCCAGGCTTCAGCTATGTAAAGTGAAATTAATGAGAGTAGCCTATAGCAACTATTATTTATACATTTCTTATGGTCTAATCACTTATGGACTAAGTGACTTTTATCAGATGAGCACAATCTTTTTTTTTTAATCCAATACAAGTAAAGCTCTATTATAAAGCACTTTTCCATTGTACAAATCCAATTTAACTGAGCCATTGTTACCTATGCTATAGCATCCATCCATCCCTCTATATAATGGGATACCACAGTGTTATCCTTTATCCCCCAACACCAGAGTTATGGTAGGACTCCTACCAACAAAGATCATAGAATTTAGAATTATAGAGATCTTGGACACCTCCTTATCTTCAAACCCATTGTTTATGAGCATCATATTCCTTGAAAAATACAAGTATTATAATTTTATAAAGTAAGAACCTAGACAACTCAAATTATTTCCCTAAACCAGAGAAAGGGATAAGAAAATCTAGCTAGTCCTAGGGAAATATGGTACATTCCAAAAGGCTTAGTACATTTTAAGTACTTTGTGATCCTGGGCTATTAAAGTTTAAAATTGCATTAAGACTTTTGGGACAATCTGTTGACAGTCTGATTCTAAAACCACAGGTCCTCCTCCCTGTCCTCAGTATCCTATGGCCTGATAATAGTAATAACAACACCTATGATATAAATATAAATAGCATTTATATAATACTTCAAGGTTTGTAAAGCACTTTATATCTGTTATTTGATGAGGTAACAATTGTAAAGCTTAGCATGAAACATAGTAAATGCTATTTATTATTTCATTATTATTATATATATTTTATATATATATATATATATATATATATCACATAATTTGACCCTCAAGAAAGCCCTATAAGGTAGGTACTATTCTCCCTATTTTATAGATGAGGAAACTAAAGGAGAGGTTAAGTGACTTGTCCAGGATTACATAGGTAGTAAATGTCTGAGGCAAGATTTGAATGCAGGCCTTCCTGACTCCAAATCCAACACTCTATCCATTGTGCCACCTATTACCTGGCAGCAATGAGATCCTCCCATCTCCCTTCTCTAGAACTTTGCCTAATCCTTTTCCCTGGTCAAGATCATCCCAGTTGAGCCTCAGAGCCCTGCCCCAACCTCAATTAATTATTGAGCCCTTAGCAGAGCTGGAAATGGATTTCCAGGACATTGAGCTCGCTGTTCACCGTCAATTTTGAAAGTGAAAGCCCACTCCCTTTACTTAGCAAAAAGACTGTTCTGTGCCTTCACTGAAATCTGCCAGGACTGAGAAGAGGCAGATTGGATTATTTCATGGGACCTCTTACTGGCACTACCTCCTTTCCCTAGGCATGTGCTTAGCTGCTGTAAAATACAAAAAGCACATGCTTTTCTTGAAAAAAAAAATCAGAAATATTTCTCCACCATAGCTCTCAGCTTGTGTGCTCCAAAGCAGCTAGCATTGGCAGGACACAAGGCTGAAAATTCCGTTAACTTGAATGCAAAACATCTGTTCAATTTTAGATAACACGAATTTTCATTTCCCTTTAATTTAACTTTGTTTAAAAAAAAAAGTGGGAGACAAAAGTGAAGGCCCCTCCTGCCCAGTATTTACTTATTGAATTTGCATTCAGTGTCTTTTTTTCTCCCTGGAAATCTTGAGACACTGACCTAAAGGTTTTCAAGCCCACTACATTCTGTACCCATGATCCCCTGTAGGGAGAGATGATGGGACAAAGGAACAGTGGTAGAGACAAAGAAGGCAGCCTGATATTTTAGAGGAAGACAACAAAAGCAAAATAAGAAGGGGAGATTTTCAAATTCATCACCTTTGTTTGCTGGTACAATTAGAGCACAGTCCCCAGCCTATAGCAGCATTGACTAAATAAACAGAAACATCCCACTGTTTAAAATGGCCCAGTTCCTTCCTTGGTACAGAGTACCAAGTCACTTGGTACAGGGGTAATGGCTAAACAGAAGGTCAGGTGATCAGGGGAAGCCATTGGTATTATGAATTAGTAGAAAAGAATTGGGATTTAGATAATTTTTCTGACCATGTCATACAAACCAATTATCATTCTTTTAACCCCTACCTTTTCCCCGTCAATTCTGCATTTCTAGCTCCCTCATGGCCAACTCCACCTGGATATCCTGCTGTGATCTCATACTCAATATGTCTCATAAAAATAAGACCTCTTCTTGAGGGCAGCAAATGTGCTGTTTTTCTTTTCCATCTCATGAACAGAGTAGCTACCATACAGTAGACACTTTTAAAAGGCTAGTTGAATAACAACTCAACTTTCTATGGTGTTTAAAGATTTACAAAGCACTTTTTTCACAGCAATCCTGTGAGATAGGCTGTGCAAATACCATTGTTTCCATTTTAGTGATAAGACTCAGAGAATTTTTACTTATACAAACTCCACCTATTGTGCCTGATCTGGTTCTACTCTACGGAACAAACCAGAATAAGCCAAATCTCAACACAGATAATAAGTGTCAGAGTCAATATTTGAACCATATTTCTTGATTTTCAAGTCCAGCATTCTTTCCATTGTATCAAACAATCTAAAGCTGAATATGTCATTTTTCCTTAATAAAATGAAAATTAAAACAAAGATCAGATCCCTCTCTGTTCCCAGTTGCTCTCCAAGGTAGTACAGACCAGTCTCCCAGTCACCAGTTTCAACATCTTATCTTCATCCTTTACCTTTTCCTCCTTTCCTACTTTCTACATTGGCAGTAACCAAGTCACACTGGTTCTTCCTTTTCGATATCTACCATTTTCCCATTTCTTCAAATTCCTACTGCCACCAGCTTATTCCAAGGTCTCTTAAAGCTGTACTTTTCCAGGAGTTTCTTATCTGGTAACCATGTACTCAGTCTCTACCCTACTTCAGTGCTTTGTAACCAATACTGAATGATTAATCTTCCTAAAATATTGTCTTATATGTGTCCCCTTTCTCCAGCCCCTGCTCAGTGGCTTCTTATCACCTATGGGAAAAAGTCCAAACTCATTCACCTAATATTAAATACTCTCTTTAACCTTCCCACAGCCAAACAGGTGTATTCATTGTTTATTATGCACACAATTCACATTTCTGGCTCATTGCCTTTCCTCATGTCATTTCCTATATTTGAACCCTGGCTCTGCCACTTACTACCTTCGTGACCTTGGGCAAAACATTTATCCTCCTTGGGACTCAGTTTACTCACTTGCAAAAAGAGGGGATGGACTAGATCAGGGCTTCTTTTTTTGGGGGGGGGGTGAGGCAACCAGGGTTAAGTGACTTGCCCAGGGTCACACAGCTAGTAAGTATCAAGTGTCTGAGATTGAATTTGAATGAAGGCTCTCCTGACTCCAAGCCTGGAGCTCTAACCATTGTGCTACCTAGCTGTCCTAGGTCAGGGCTTCTTAAACTTTTTCCACTCGCGTCCCCTTCAGTGCTTTTTAAATTTAAACTTAAACCCCTCCCCCCATACGGGGTTGTAACCCACAGTTTAAGAAGCATGGGATTAGATGATGTCAGAGGTCTCTTTCAAAGTTAAATCAGTAATTCCCTCCTTTAATTGTACCGTCTCCTTGCTTCTGGTGATCTATATTCAACTCATCTTACAAAGGCAAGGCCAAGTCTCACCTCCTCTATGAACCACTCTTATGATCTCCTATAGCATTTCTTATTTGTAACAGGATTGGAACTTGGTTTATGTTGTGTCTTTTACATGTGTATCCTGTTTCCCCAATTAGATTCCAACCTCCCAAGGGCAGCCATTTTGTCTTCTACATCTTTGTACCCTAAGCACACATAGCAGGTACTTAGTAAATGCTTATCAGTAAGTGATGATGATGAGATACTTATTGTGGCTACCTAGGTAACTAGGTGGACCTTTAACTAGGAAGACCTGAGTTCAAATCTCACCTCAGAAATGATTGACTGTGTGACCCTGACAAGTTACTTAAGTTCTGTCTGCCTTAGTTTCTTCATCTGTTAAATGGGAATAATAATAATACCTACTTCACAGGGTTGTTGAGTGCGATAAAATGAGATAATATTTGTAAAATACTTTGTAAGCCTTGAAGAGCTAAATAAATAATGTTGTTGTTACTTTGGGTCCAAAACTGTTCTAGTTACTGGTGGCAATTTTTCTCAAGGGGTTTATAATCCAACAGGGTTGGGGGTGGAAGAAAAGGAGGACAAGGACAGAACAGATATATAAATATAGAGCTATATAGCCATAGACATGTGAAACAATTACATGCTAACCTATCCAGCACTTAGCAAATGCCTAGCACATAGCAGCATTTAATCAATGCTGTTTCACTTGATTGTGGCATTCAGAGAACAGGGAGATCAGAGCAACTAGAGTAAT